GGTCATAAATACTAAAAACTACAGAAAACACATACTCAAAGATACAACACTCACAAATGACACATGCAGAAAATGTCACATCATGCCAGAAACTATACAACACATTACTTCTGGTTGCAAGCTCTTGGCACAGACAGATTATTTATACAGACATAATCAAGTAGCAAATATAATACACCAAGAGCTTGCAAAGAAATACAAATTATTAGACATCACAAACCATACTACAAATACATTCCACAGACAGTATTGGAAAACAACACGCACAAACTGTACTACGACAGAGCCATAATCATAGATAAAACAATTTACCACAACAGACCAGACATCACACTCATTGACAAACACAATAAAACACATTATAGACATATCCATTCCAAACACTCACAATGTACAAAACACATGCACAGAAAAAATTAGCAAGTACACAGAACTCGCCCAGGAAATAAGGCATCTGTGGAGGATGGAAAGGATGCTTATTGTACCTGTTGTTCTCTCCGTGGGTATGATACCACACACACTACACAAAAGCCTAGGGACATTACGATTGAATAGAAATACATACATCACACTATAGAAGGCCACTATATTGAATACATGCCATATTGTTAGGAAATTCCTGAATACAGACACAGACCCTGACATACTTATTTAATTTTAGTTTTTGGTTGCTATGCCTTGACTCTGGTCCAGCATGGTACACAGCCACCGGTGTGAACTGAGTATAACCCACTAAACCCAACATAATAATAAATAAATAAAAATTATAAACCTGCATATAGAGATAAATTTGCATGAAAAAGTTGAAAGTGCTTGTGTTAATAAAAAGTGTTTTAATGCTGATATACAGCAGTAAAACTCACTTTACAATGATATCTACTGGTGGCAACCTATTACATCATTGAACTCAGAAGCAACATCTTGGGGAGAAGACTTCCTCAGGAAGTTAAAAGAATGATCTCCTGACCGAAATTGTTACCCAAAATAAACCACAAAATTTATAAATAATTAAATGTAAGGACAATGACATGACTTAAGGAAGATAACTAGAATTATCAAATGTTAGCCATTTAAGTACCTAAATAGGGTTGAGTTGGTGTAATCATGTAATGTCGCCACAACCACATTATAAGATGATGATGAAGCCAAGATTGAGTGATGTGATGCTAAGGATCAAGCAAAGTTAAAGAAAGGCTTTCAAGTTCCATTGATGACAAAAGTTCTTGGTGATGGTTAGGCGAGTTTATTTAATAAAACTGAATTGTGGATTTTTATATTTCAATTTTCTTTTGCCAGTTTTGTGAACCTAAGTATAAGATGGTTATAATTCAAATTTTAAGTCCCCAATTGTTGGGAAAGTTTATTGTACATATTTGATTTGGATTTGATAAATTAATTTTTTATAGTTTTGAATCTTTTGCTAACTTATTTCATTTTTGTAAATATTCGGGTGTAGACTAATAAATAGATATTTTCATATTACATATAGTAATTATTTCGGGTTTTTGAGTCATTAACAGTGTTTTTGTTACTTATTGCCTGCGTACTCTCCAGGTTTGGCACTAACAGAACCCTCATTTATATAATGCACTGATAGGAAACTATCCAGGCACTCAATAGAACTAGATAAGATGTTACAAATGGAATTTGTCCACTGATCGAGAATAAAAGTACAGACTTTAAATTGGTAAAAACACTTAAGAATGTGTTTGTACCAGAGCATATAAATTTGATATAACTTAAAATTGTTTTCTTTTTCCGAAACTGTTTAATCAAGGATTTTTCATTATTACATATAACTTTAATTTCATATAAACTTTTACTTTATACATAAAATATTTAGAAGTTAGGTTTTAGGTTCTTTTGTTGCCTTTCCTTATAAGAAATAATAAAATTAAAAGCATAAATTCATTATATTGACAATATAACCAAAACACAAATTAGATTTACTACATATGTCTGAAAGTGGAAATCAGAGTAAAAGCAGCTTAGTAAAAGTGTGATGTTTGTTTGATATATGAAATGAGATAAAAGTAATCAAATATTATATGATTAAATTTTTAAGTGATCTTTTTGTAAAACTGCAAAAATCATTATTTGAAATTGAAGGAATGAAATTATAAACAAGCAATTATTTATTGTGACATTGTCACAATGCCAGGCTGCAATTTTTAATCATTTTTTTAATTTATTTAATTTAAAATATTAGCTCTCCACTTCAAATTAGTAGCAGCTTGCCCATGTATATTATACTTTTTCTTTAACAATAGAATCATGCCATTATCTATTAACTCCTTTCAGGGTAAAAATTTTGAATTGAAATAACATGACTTCCAGTTTGCATTAGAAGTTTGTATATAGTTAATCAGTGACTCCAGCCCATAAAGTTTCCATTTCTGGTCTCAGTTTTCATATATCTAACTACATTCTTGAAATTAAGAAAAGAAAGACAGACAGACAATAGTGGGAATTTATAGGTCTATAATTTTTTCAAATTGCAGCAAAATGACATGGGCAGTCAAAAAGTTCATGGAATTGTGGTATATCACCCTAATGGTAAGAGAACAGAAATGCTTACCTAATCATTTTTAAAGTAGACCTTCAGCACACTTGCCTCATTGAGTCTACCAATATTGGAAGTACTGTTGGAAGGCTTTTTTGGAATATTTAGGAGTTTGGCTGTTGCACTTATTGCATTCTTTGACTGTGGATGGTGTAGTGCACCACGAATTCATACTGCCTTGACAGTATGTTACTGGTCATTTCTATATGCAAGTTTTTCAGAAAATGGTGCAACAAGTGGCGAGGAAGAAATTTCTGCACCAAGTCAACTCATCTCTTGTGCGGAAATTTCTTCCTGACAAAAGACTTACCCAAACATTGTACTCACCAGATATCATTATGAGTAACTTTTGGCTTTTTCGTATGCTGAAAATTAGTCCACAACTATGGAGGACATCAAATTGAATGTGATAGCAGAACTCTTGAATATTCCAAAATAAACTTTCCAATATGTTTTCAACAGAGGCAGACTCAATATGGACAAATGTGTGTATGCTTGAAGGTTTCTACTTCAAAGGTGATTAGATAAGTATTTCCATATGTCTTACCATTACAGTGAAGTACCACAATTTCAGGAACTTTTGACTGCCCATGTCATTTATAATTTCATTCTTTCAATTTCAAATAATGATTTTTACAGTTCTACAAAAAGATCACTTAAAAATTTTAAAATATGATATTTGATTACTGTTATCTCATTTCATATATGAGCTAAATAAACATTACATTGACTGCTCATATATCTAACATTTACATATCTTCTTTTGGCCTAAGTTTTCCCCCCTTCAAAATTATGATCCTTTGTTAGAATTTTTTCCACTCAATTTGCAAACTTGAAAATTCCATTTATTGTTGTGCAGTGTATGTTGTAACTTCTATAGCTTTTCCAACTTTTCAACTTAAATATAGTTTTTCCTTTTACTCTTAGATCTGTCATTTAGCTTTCTCTAAGTTTTTCACATTCTTGTTTGGGCTAGTTCATCATTCCCTAATCTTGACACACTTCCATTTTAATCAGTATTATTTTCATATGATCACATATGCTACATCTCCTTGGTTCAGGCAGAATTATCAAAACATAAAAATTAAAAAACCTGTTTGCTTTTTTGAATTCAAAGCTTTGACAAAAATAAATTTTTAGTTTTGAGAATTTGAAATCAGGTTGTACAGTATCCAATTCAAATAAATATGTTATACTCACTATATTTATTTGAATTGGATACTTACTTATATCTTACTAATACGTGTTAGTGAATATTTGTAAAATATTCAAATAAAATCAGTTCTAATTTCTAATAAAATTATATTTTATTTTTATGTATATAGTCAGTCAGAAAGTGTTAGAGATGTACAGTTTACTCCACATCACTACTTCTTTTTTGCTGCTGTTCAAGAAAATGGTAATGTTCAGATTTGGGATCTACGTAGGTCAGATCGTTATGACAGGCAGTTTACGGCACATAATGGACCCATATTTACGTGCGATTGGCATCCAGAAGAGAAAAAATGGTTGGCAACAGCTGGAAGAGATAAATCTATTAAGGTTTAAGATAATCAGTATTTAAATTAATTGTTATAAGTATTTTTAAATATTCTAATTGATTTTATTATTCTGTAGGTTTGGGATTTAAGTGCAAAACCAGTTTTAGATTATTGTATACAAACAATTGCATCTGTTGTGCATGTTAAATGGAGACCACAAAAGAAATTTAATATTGCTAGCAGTAGTCTGTTATTAGATTTTGATGTAAATGTCTGGGATATACGAAGACCTTATATTCCTTTTGCAGCATTTAGTGAGCATAAGGATGTGACTACAGGTATATTTCTTACTTTATTGAGCTTCAGTTCATAGTGCATGAAATTTACTAAAGTCTTACTTTGATTTTATGCCTTTTTTTATTTTTTATTTTTTAATTCTTTCCGCCCTGTGGGCACTAAGAGGGCCTTTTTTTTTTGCAAGCCCATTATGGGTTCGGCCAGGCCCACAAGGGGGCTGCCGGGTGGTGAGGGACGGGGCCCGACATATCCGAACGGACCACCCCCCGAAAAATTCCTGGGGAGTTTTCGACCCGTTCGGATTCGAACCCGGTTCCCCCAGAGCGGTAGGCTGCCACCTTGACCGCTCGGCCATCCGGCTGCTGATTTTATGCCTGGAATATACCAAAAATACTTCAATTTTGTATTATTTCTAATACAAAGAATTTTTAATTTAAATAAATTTTTAATTATTATTTTTAAAAATTTTAAATTATTAAAAAAATATATTAAAAATAATGTGAATTGAGAAAGATAAAGAAAATATCTCTCTTCACATTCTTTAAATACTTTATTATATTTTTCTTTAATTTTTATTGTAAAACACTTAAGGTAAAGCTTCAACTTTTTAGAATAAATACAAAAATTATATTTGAAATTAACATTTTGTAAAGTCTTTTATGCAATCTCAAAATGATATCCATATCTTTCTTGATTATTATATAGATTTTGTTGATAACTTAAACCTACTACTGAACAATGATCTTTTTAATTCATTAAAGTACATTGAGTTAAATTGCAGTTGTGATGTATGTATTCAAATGCTGATGATAATTTTGAATTTGTTCTAAAATTTAGTGAGATGTTAAACATTAAAACAGTTAAAATACATGTTTTATACCTTCTAAGGTACACTGTAGTGTAAAGTAAAATGCTTAATGTAAAAATTGATTGTATTAAGTTATTTTGATGTAAATATAAATGTTGGTGATTAATTTATGAGTTAGTAACTATTTTAAGTTTGAAAACTTTAAAAAAATTATCAAATTTTTATTGCATTTGGGACTCAATGTAACATTAGTCTCGGGATCTGAAATATTGACCCACATTATAAATGAGTCCATGTTCTATTGCAATTTGACAGGTAGATGGAAACCAGCAACTGATTGCTCAACACACGAATAGTTTAAAACACAGGGTAATACACGACAACTTATATAGGATTTTACAAATCAAAACAATAAAATTAAGTCTTTGGTGAAGTAGATACATAACAGTTGGACATAGGTGTTGAACAGATGGAAATTCTTTACCAATACCTAGGCAGAGAGAGCTGTCAGTATGGAATATGTCTATCTTAAACTGCATTGCAACACTTTTAACATTATGACAGTCCTGTCTCCAAATAACTTTGTCTAGCTATCACTGTTAGCAATTGTGTTCATCCTTAAGTTTTGGATATGTGTACATGTGAAGACTCTACTGAAATATTGAACTTTAAGGCATTAAAGATGCATAACAAAACTAATTTGATTGAAGTGCAAGACAAAATTACACACAAAAAGCATGATATCAAAATTGGGATCCAGCTTTCTTACTTCATTGTAAATGATACTATGTTCTATCAAGTCCCAAGTGTATTAATAATTAAACTTCATTATTAAAACATACATAACAAGATGCTTTCTGTAATATATGAAACTAGCTGTTACCCGTGGCTTCACCCACGTGGAATTTGCAGTTTGATAGAAATAACCCTCTCTTGGTACTTCACTAAGATTCTCAATCATTAGTTGTTACTATAAAAACAAAAATTCGCATCTAAAATAGTACAGTAGAAGCCATTCTTCAGGTTAAGCCTTAATCCTCTCCCTCTCCCTGTCGGGGAATTTCAAAAAATCTCTTCTTAATGGGCATTTTCATGATGTACCCTAACTGTGTACCAAATTTCACCTATTCAGGTTTAGTGGTTTGCTCTGGGCGATGATGAATCAATCAGTCAGTCAGTCAGGACATGTAATTTTATATATTTAGATTATCTAAACAATTTGCATCTTAAACTAATTGTAAAATTAATATATTAAGTATATTATTTTTATGTTTTATATTAATTGTATTTTATACTATTGTAAAAACATAGTTTGATGATAATATGTCAGTTATAATGTAAATATTAATATGCTGTGTTAATATTTTTATACTAGTATATTTTCTACTTATGGTTTAATGATGACAAAATTAATTTACACAGTGCATATTTTCATTTGGCATTACAGGTTTATGGATTGTTTATATATTTACAGGTTTTGTTTGGCGGCAAGATCCACAAATACTTCTTTCTACAAGTAAAGACTGTACTCTTTATCAGCATGTTTTTAGAGATGCTAAAAGACCAGCAGATCAAGCTACACCCATTGGTCTTGACATAAATAATTTTGGTGACATTTCATTTGCTGCAAGTGAAAGAATTATTGATGATGGCAGTGCCTCGATTAAAGGATCTAATTATTCTTCTACTAAGTTACCTGTATTTTTCCGTAAAGTTCCAAATCCAGCTGATCAGTTTCGATCTGCCCTCAGTTCAATGTTATATTTCAAAAATAGTAAAAATGAGGTAACAATAGTCTATTTAAAATATTTTAAGTGAAGAGGTCAGTTCAAGAGAGAGCTAATTCCACAAAACCAGTCAGGTTTTGAGTTATCAGTGATTTTGTTCATTGTGCATGCATCCCCATTGTTCATACAATAGGAATATACTTAAATGCTTAATTGTGAGCTGTCACAAGCATTCAAAGTCAAATACTTTGATGGTAGCACAGTATTTTTTTTGTATATCTTGAAACACAAATCTATGACTTACATTCTTCTTGAACAGACATCTTCAAATATTTTGATATATAAGTATATTAAGAAAAAATATTTTAATATGGTATAGTATTGTGATATTCTGTATAACAATATCACAGTTACATTTAGAAATTGTAATATTGGATTTAAACTTACCTAAATTAGCATTTCCCAAACTTGGATCCTTCTGACCAGTTTGAGAGGACCCACAAAACGTTTAGATTGTATCTAGTAACGTGCATTTATTTTTCTAGCAAGATGCTGATAGAATCATAATGAGTGTTGTCTTAGAGCATTACTTATTTTTGATATGATTAGTGCGTATACAAGTGCAGTGATATATCTATGGAAAGAATGGAAATTTCACCCCTTTTCAAACATTTGATGCCCATCCCATACCATGATATTACAGTATGGATGGGTCTACTTTTTAGATAACTTTACTGTAATACCAGCTGAAAAATACAAGTCATACTTATTAATCTTTTAATTAACAAATTATGGCACTACATAAAAATAAGTGCTTATAAAACAGTTATTAACTAATATTCTTGAGTCTCTTAACATTAAAATTAATCTAGCTAAGTCCATGGCTATGTGCTAAGCACTAGTATGTAATCCTACTATGTATCTGTTCCTCATATCTAATCATCTAGTTACTTATGTCAAAATGATTCTCAATCTTGGAGTTATATTAACTAGATGTCTTACCACATCAGCAGAATTATTAAAAATCTTGCCATCAGATGAGGCCACTGCCATCGCATCTGTAACTAATCAGTTCTCACATCTTTTTTCTTTTTCTTTTTTTTTTAAAGGATGTAGCCAATGAACTATTAAGATATTTTTTAAGAATAAACTACATTGTCTTTTTGGCATTAAAGTCATTTACTTGAAAAGTTTTTAATATTGAAAGACAGTGTAGCTTATTCTTAATCTAAGTTTGGCATTGTTAGTGAGTACATTTTAAAATGATTTTTATTCTTTTTAATAAATTTATGAAAAAGTTTTCTTTTATTATTAAAGGATAGTTTGTCAAATTGTATTAGAAACTGCTCAGTGGATCCAGGACACGAGTCCTATCTGCCATATCAAACACAGAAACACATGAGAGAAACACAGTGGCATATCTATGCCACTGTGTTTCTCTCATCGTGTGCATTCAACACACAATATGCATATGCATGTTAACATATGTTAGCATATGCATGTTAACATATATATAGACTTATGCATATATTTGGAGTGCCCACAAACCTTTAAAAGGTCCATAGATCTCAGTAGTTTTGGAACAGATCTAAATTTTTGGATTTTCAAGATTAAGAGGTTTTTCAATTTGCCGAAATATTCAAGATTAAAAGTATTTCTGACTTGATGAGAGTGAAAACTTGTTTACTTTATTAGTTCAAACTTAAGCAAAGAAAGTAAGAACTGTGAAGTCATATTAATAACATGTTAGTCTTCAAATTAAATATTTTTGACAGATAATTTAATTTTTTTTTCTTGCCTTTTACAATAATAATTAAGAGAGAAATTTTTCTAAAATAGTTTTTGTCAATGGATTGGTTTGTTGAAAGTGCCCGTAAATATAAATTGTCAGGCAAACCCATTGAAGAATTGTGCGACCATAATGCTGAAGTAGCATCGAAATTATGCCGATTTCATATTAGTCAAACATGGCAAATTCTGAAAATATTATATAACAGTGGATCATCATTTGTGCCAGATTATTCTCAGGCATCGACAGGAATTGGAATTACATCAGAATCTCTGAGAAATGAAGTTGATAGAGGTATGCAAAAATTTTAATGTAATAAAATAGTTAAAATTTATTGATAGTTCTAAAAATTTCAAAATTTATATATATTATAGTCATAGATGATGGAAATAATAATCGTTCTAGTAGACATAATAGTGGAAACAATCTTAGAAACAGACATCAGAGTGGTAATAAGAATACCACTCGTCTTGTTAGCAATGCGGGTACTTCTGCACATAATGCTGCAGATCGTAGCATTGCTGACATATCGGGACCTACTGAGGATGATTCACAATCTTCTGAAACCGACCACGAAAATACCTTAACCAATATAGCAAGTGGAATGGCATCCACTCAAGATTTCTTTTTTGGAGATGGAACGATGGACAATTTAATTGGTTTAGATTATAATACAATGAATACAATAGACAATTTACAAGATTGGACTCTACCTCACGAAGTTTTTCATCCTCGGCATCCCATCAAAGATTGTTCCCCTCCACCTGAAATAACTAACGCACCAAGTTCTCCAACTTCAGATAGTGAAGATGAGACTAAAATAGATAACTTTATTGGAAGTAGTGATATAAATAAACATTCTTCTGTTATAACAATATATTCGGTACCTTCTTTTCCTTTCTGGAATTTTGAAGAAACAGTTATTGATGCATTACATTTTTATGCTAATCAGGTAAGGTTTTTATTATTATTTTCTGATAATTAAATGATATTTTAACTTTCACTTGAAATAATTTTTGACATTTTAAGGTAATATAATTGTACTGCTATAGATTCCACAGCTTTCACAGTAAAAACCAATGCACACAAACCTAAAAATTAAAATGATGATGATTGTCATTAACAGACTCAACCAATCATCTCTGATGATTGTGAAGACAGGCCAGATGATTTGGCAAAACTAGTTATTAACGTTCATTGTTTTAATTGTGGCTTTTGTTCATTGGCTTTGAGTTTTAAATTAATTTTTGTTTCTTTATTTAATTTTAGTATAGTGAGTTTTCACTTAACATTGTTGATAGATTCTTGGAAACTGTGACATTAAGCAAAACAATATATAACAAAACCAATTTTCCAACAAATTACACAACATAATCTAAATATTTTCTAGCTAAATATACTTTCTTTAGCTCATAAATTGCAGAAAACAAGCAAATCTACAAAATTAAATTTAACAGCAGTTTCCAAAGAATATTTAAGTAATAATTGTATTGATAAACATATTTGTAATGAAAAATATATTTTACTAAAGGAACAACATTGTATTACTATTATGGAAATTAATGAACATATCACAGTTAACATTGTTTATTGGAAACTATATAAAACTAACTAAACATTAGAAAGATTCATAATAAAAATAACCATAATAATAATATAAAAATTTAATAAACAAGTTATATTTTGACAAAATAGTTACAAATATGATGCTAAGGAGTCTGAATAAATCAGCAATATGGTTTTATTATAATCATAACTTTTAATATTATAAATTGTTAAAAGTTTGAATTTGAATACTGTTGAATTTGACTTTTCATCTCATTCTTCTAAAAAAATTTAGGCAGAAAAGTAAATAATAGAGTGGAATTCTAAATGTCAAAAGTAATCACTATGATTCTTTTGTAAATCTCTCTCATTAACTGTTTATAGAAATATCTTGGGGCTGTAATTTAAATAAATTTTAAAGATGCATATGTTTCTTTAAATTTTTTGAATTCTGTTGTATGTTTTTGTTTTGTTTAAACAATAAATTTTGCTTTGTGTAATAAAGTATAACAATTTTTTAAACTATATTCCATGTTATTGGAATAATAATATTAATAACTTAAATAACATTAATGATTAGTGTGGCAACAAAATATTTTAAAGAAGAATTTAATGTATTATTTTTGAAAAAAAAAAAATCATTGTGAAAACTAAAATTTATTTGTATGCACACAAATATTCATTATTTATTTTCCATTGTAATTTATTACAATATAAATATTACTTTTGAATTTATATATCATTTTCAACAAAACTATAAGAATGGAAAATTATTTCTAAATTTTTATTTCTGTTTTTGCATAAATTTGATGCATAGGTTCAATCTAATATACTGTAAAATTATACAGATCTTGACAGAATATCATTTACATTGCAATATCAAAGTAATAATTCAACAAATTTGTTTTAATTGTTAAAAGTTTAATTAATGGAAATTTGGCCTGAACAATCAATGACAGTTGTCTTATCATTGATTGTTTAGGTTGTTGGTGGTGCTGAGATCACCCACATCATTGATGATGTTATTTAAATTAGATTTCACTGTGCAAGCAGGAAAGATACTACTACTGTTCTTTGGTGTGCACTGCAGTTTGATTTAAATTCAACATTTAAATCAAATTAATTAATAAAACCCACATTAATTGACATTCAAGTAATATAAATGGCATGCAAGAATTTTTATTTTTCATTTTCAATAATTACATGACATATTTCAGCTAATTGTTAACAAACAAAAATGAAATTTGATTTATATTCTTATATAAATTTTAATCTTTCAAAATTAGAGTTAACTGTATTATTTATTATAAATAAATAAATAAATAGAAATATAATTTCTATTTATTTATTTATTTATAATAAGTTCATAATTGGTAATGATTTAAAGTGCATTCCAAATAATTATCAACATATGTTGTTTTAAAATTAAAAAAGAACTGTCAGTTATATTAATTTAACTAGATAAAAACAACCAATGTTGTTTTTAACTATGTTTATTATATGAATTAAATGCTACAAAAAATTTGCTTATTGTTGACTTACCTTCATTTAATCTTCAACAGTTTCAGTTTGGGAAATGCTTTCAACTGTCCAGCCATCAATTTTGCCTTTTTCAGTCACTTAAATTGCACTTTTTATCCATAGTAACAAACAACTTTTCAATCTTCAAATGTATCAAATATTTTTATATGCTTACACAGAAGTAATACGAATATGCAAACTGATTTACATTTCCTACAAGGTGTTTTTTGGAAACAGTTGATAATTTTTTGGGTAGGTAAAAATTTCACTTTGCCAATTAAAAAAAAAAAATGGAATTTACAACTTTGTAGCATTTAATTCATGTGATAAACATGATTAAAAACAACATTGGTTTTTATCTAGTTAATATAACTGATAGTTTTTTTAATTTTAAAATGAGCAAAAATGATTGTGACATTATCACATTGCCTGGCTGCAATTTTTACTCATATTTTTAATTTATTTAATTTAAAATATATACTCTCGATCTCAAATTAGTAGTGTCTTGCCCCTGTACATCATACTTTTCCTGATAACAATAGAGTTGTACTGGTCATCTAACTCCATTGTGGAGAAAATATTTGACTTGAAATCGTGACTTCCTGTCTACACCATTAGTTTGTATATAGTTAATTGGGACCTCCTGCCTCAATCTTTCCATATTTGATCTTGACTTTCCTCTATCTAACACCATTCTTGAGATTAAAGAATGGTGTTAGATAGACTGACAGTGGGAATTTATAGGTCTATAATTTTTTTAAATTGCAGCCTAACAACATATGTTGATAATTATTTGGGATGCACCTTATTATTAAAAACAGAATTTCTAAGAATGTTTGTTTTCATAAGATGTTAATATATTTAATTTTTTTAGGGAGATGTACAGATGGCTGTGTCCATTTTATTAGTATTAGGAAATAGATTGGATGGATGCATCAATGAAACTCTGGTTGAAAATTGGATAATTTCTTATATAGGTAAAATATCTTTTATTAATTTTTATATTTTGTTTTTTTAAAGAAAAAAGAAACTATAAATAAACTTTTTCCTATAAAACCTAAGTAATAATTCCACTAATCTAAACAATCTTGTACAATAATTAATTTAGAATTAACAAGAGTGCATTGTATACTATATTACTTTGAATGTAAGATACAATTTTTTTCTTGTGTTTCCAATCACAAACTTAAGAGTGCAATCTAAACTCAATCTTCTTAATTCTGGACAATCATTTTTTAAAAGTATTTTAGATAATGAAAAGATTTTAATAATTTCTGTTAAATAAATAAATACAGTAAAATAAATTAGAATTATTTTATTTATTTTGAATACAATCAGTAAAATCCATTTAGACTTGAGATGACCATCCCCATATACAACAACTCAAAAATAAATAAATTATTGTTTACAATCATAACAAATACTTCTTAATTATATTTACTTCTAATTATCATTTTTCTGCATCATCTCACAATGTTTTCATTCTTATAGCTTGCCATAATCTTCTCTTGACCTGATAGTCTTCAAAGACTATCTTATGATCAACAATTGTTTATATTGTAACAATACTTATATTGTGCATTATCACTTGAGTATCTGCAGAGCAGCATCATGTTACAACCATCTTTTATATATGAGAACATGTATTTGCTCATGTATAAATGATGAAATTGTGCATAGTTTTTCCTGCCTTCTATGTGTGTTTCTGTGAAACCTTTCCTACTAATTTGATGATGCTCTGCTATTTACTTGTACTTCTGGTCCATATAGACCTTTGCTTGTTGCTATTGAATCTCTATGCCTTAGTTATTCATCATTCCTACTATAGTGAAGAAAAGAAGAGAGTTGACTTTATTTTCAAGAATGAAAATAATTTAAAAAATAATAATTATTTTAGTATGCAATGTAAAGTACTATATTATTTTTCCCGACTTTCCAACGATTATCGACACTACTGTGTGCCGGAAATAGCCGTTCCCTAACGGGTACTTTACGCGGATTCGCGTTAGTGTGCCAGGCCTGGACTTTAAGCGTGCACCGAATTAAATAATGACAAAGTTTGTCAATAACAAAATCAAATATTTAATTAAACTTCTAGTAATAAACTATATACAGTATTTAGTAAAAATCAAACAATAATTTATTCAATGAAATTCAACAAGAATCAATCCGACAAACTCAAATCAATCTATTTCTAACTTAATTCTATTCCCCTTTGGAATTCGACAAAATCAAAGAATTAACTTATAAACAATAATTCTTATAAATTAAAGATCCTAATCGTCACCTCAATATACTAGGAACCTATTTCCTCAAACTCTCAAGACTTTCTATAATCGTCGATCCACAAATCGAATAACTTCAAAATCCTATCGGACACCTCTCTCGTTCACTGCTACGAAGCTCACCAAAGCTCGTTGCTATCAGGAATTCACCTCGTTCGTTTTCACTTGAGTTAGAGGCTTTATAGTGTGAGGTGACGTCACAATTCTGAATGAGCTCACTCTCCTCATTTACATACTTATCTGTAACATTAAATTTTTCTTGTTTATCTGGCAGATTATTTTCCGACAATACTTCGCTAACCTTTTACATTATTCTTTTTAACAATTATCGGGATGCTTTATTCTTTTAAGGTTTAGCGATTCCTAACTGGGTTGTGGGGTCTTCCCCCCCCTTTTTCTCGGTGCGGACTTACTTTTTTCCGCTTGGGAAGCACAAGTGTGCGCGAGTTTTTCTACGGCGCTTTTCTTTCGTTGGTGAGTTGGTTTTTCTTCTATTTTTAAGTTACTAAGGTGAATGGTGAGGAAACCTTCGTCTTAACTAAACATAAGCCCCAAACAAAATATAATGAAAGCAAAATAAAAGTAAAATAAAAATAAAGCTCAGACTTGGTTCCTTACACCAACTCTACTAAGTTTTATTTTGTGAGAATTTCAATTATAACTGTTAGGAATTGCATATTAAGGAGTAAACTTTGTGAAGAGAGGATTTGTCATTTTGAGTTTGTTCCTCTTACAGGACATCCATTAATTTTGATCAGCTTGGACATAGTTAAACTACATCAAAAATGAACAGATACATGTTTGAGCTTTTTGTCCAAAGTGCTTTGCAGATATTTTTGATGTTTAAAAATTCAAATATTTGTAGTGTGTAGTTGTATGTATGTAGTCATGATGGAAGACATATTTGAGGGTGCTTCATAGCATGATTTGATAAGCTATAGTTTTGGTTATTAATCCACAGTTTTTTTTATATATGTGTGTGTGTTACTTATATAACTTTCACCTAATAAAAAATAACATAATTTTTGTATTTGCATATTTAAAAAATATTTATATAAATAATCAGACAGAAATGACATATTTTCCAAACATTTTAATTTTTAAATGTGCTTATTATGATGGCTTACAATTTGTCAGATGATGCATATCATGAGAACATATAAAACGTAACATTTGAATTGTCTTATTTCTTGAATGGGCAGAAAAACCTATTTTGTTTATGTTGTAAAATGTTTCATTGTATATTTAGTTTCAATATAAACTATGATGTTAAGTGTAACATACCTGTATATCAGAGCAAATGTTTTTATAAGTTTGAATTATCGGTATTATTGACTTGTATATCTCGCATTTGTTTACACATATGTTTCAAATCATGAATTTAAACAATATTTTGAGATTAATTTGATTAAATTGACAATTTTTAAATTAATAACAATTTAAGTAATCATTTTAACTATGTTTGATAGAACTTCTTAGTCGATTCAAACTGTGGAATATTGCAAATGAAGTAATCAATTTAAGTAGTCTGTCGGCAATCAATACACTAAACCAGCAGTCTACGACAATACGTTCTCTCTGCGGGAAATGCCGTCAGCCTTTGGGACACGTCGGTTGGGAGTGCACTCGCTGCAACATCATGCCGGCACCTTGTAGCATATGGCAAGTATTTGTAATTTTATCAAAGTTTTGATCAACAGGAATGTAATTGTAAATTTTTTGTTTTCAGTCACCAGATAGTGAGAGGCCTCTATGTTTGGTGTCAAGGTTGTTGTCATGGTGGGCATCAGAAACACATGGAGAAATGGTTTCAAAACCATCGAGAGTGTCCCACTGGATGTGGACATTTGTGTGAATATGTTTAAATTCATCAATTATAAAAATTCAGGTAGAACAAGTCAAGAGATGAGTAAAGAATTAGAATATAGATATTTAAATTACATTTTTAATCATAATAAAAAAATATCATATTTCAAAAACATATTTTTGAAAACAGATTCACAAAATGAAGTTTTTTGTATTCCAAAATGCAATATTGCAATTTTGGCAAAACTGTGTTAAAAATGATTATGTAAATTTAATTGTTAAAAAATTTTTCTACATAATATAATAAACTCTTATCTTCATAGTTGATGTTCCATTTCAAGTGATAAATTGAGTCATGTTTTATGTATTATATTAATTGTGATATATATTTATCCACATTTTACTATAAGAAATGGATAGAATGAAAATTAAAGTATTTGGTATGATTAGACTTTTTTTTTTGAGATATTCAGATTATGCCACACTTCATAAAGGAGAAGTTGAAGGGAAATCCACAAAAAAAGGAAGACCTTTGTACAGCTGGCTGTGCAAACAGCCAGCTGTGGAAAGAAAAATGTAAGAGAAGTAACATAGGTTGATAAGAAAAAGATTTATAAGTATTTTGTTTTTATTTAAATAATTAAATGGTAATCAAATACTTCTTATCGGGCTACAGTGAGGTTAATTATAAGATATGAAGCAATTTTGACTAAAGGTTAAGTCACCATCTCACATTAAAATTAATAATTAGTAATATTTATTGGGTTTATTGTATATCATGTAACAATTAAATAGTATGTGTAACTAGATTCATTTGAATAACTTTAATAGCATTTAAAATTGAAGAAGGAACATAAAAATAAAACCACTGAATGCTGGTGGTTGTGGGTTCGCGCCTGGCCAATGGGCCAGTCACGTGGAGTTTTGCAGATTTTCTTCATGTTAGTAACACCTAAACGGGCCAGTTTCCCATAGACATACCTACCGGGAGGCATCCCAGTTGCAGATTGCCCACATGTCCCATTCAATAAACCAAACCAAACCCAAATTTTGCACTCCAGCAGACAAAGAGATATCAAATTTCATCTACCAAAGATTAATGAAATGAAATTTAAGGGTTTTTTTTTTAATAATAATTTTAATACAGTATATAAAAAAGAAATTTTAGCCAATTTTCAATTGTAATCCAACCTCAAAAAACGTCAACGCTTGGCAAAGCGATAGGATAGTGCTGTACACGTAATGAATTTGAATTGGGCAATTATCTTCAGCATTATTGGTTGATCAGAAACCAATATAAATTATTTTCATGAACATAATCAGATAGAGGATTTTATAGGCTTACTTCTTGACTCTCTTCCCTGTGGGCACTAAAATTACCCTTTTTTAGTGAGCCCATTGTGGATTGGCCAGTCCCATACTGGAACGACCGGGCAGGGATGGATGGGACCCGACATATCTCGATGGATTATCATAAAGTTCTTGGGATTTTTCGACCCGTCTGGATTCTATCCCAGATCCCCATCTTAATTAACCACCCGCCAAGGAATTTACAGATTGTAAAATTTGAATCTGAAGGCATTCGTCTCAAAAGATCCAGTGGCCCGTAATTCTAGGAGAAAGATCTTGCTCCATAAACTAATTATTAAAAAAAAGCTTAAGTGAAAAATCGAAACCCTTAAGGGAAAATGATATGAAATTTACTGGACAATGCAATTAATATACAGAATTCTTAGGAAAGGCCGTACATATTCTATAACTTTTAAATCGGCATTTATAGGAAAGTGATCATGCACAGACTATTAAAACCCTTAACTGATGATGTGGGTCTATTGGACCCATGTCACATTTTTGATGCCGCTTATCAGCCGCTGTGTTCATTTTAACAGCAGATGCGCTTCAGTGGCTTCATCAAATCCAGTGATTAAACATGACTTTGTAATTGGACTTTCACGTTGTTACAAAAAAGTCAAATTACAAAGTGAAAGGTCGTTTAATTAGTACAAAACGGTACTTGGTTTAGCATAAACAGGAATGAGCAGAAAAGTCTAAGAAATCAGCGAACATTTATGCACAAAACAACACAAAAAAAATTTATGTAGCACAAGTACCCGGAAGATGATGAGGGACATATCCGAAACGGACCCCTCACGTAAACTCACCTAGATTTGACTCCGGATCCCCAGGGAGGCCATTTGACTATCTCATCATCATCATAAAAATCATTAAGGAAAGAGAAAAAATATTCCCAAGTATGTTTGTAGAAGGGAGGTTTTCTTTTTAAGTTGGTAATGAATCTACTGGAATAACTCGAAGAATACACATACTACAAAAAAACCATTGAAATAAAAATGTCAGACTTCAAGGGAGCCACAAGAGTTTCGATTAAACCAAATAATATACTAAATGGAGGGATTAAAGTGCTACAAAATTATCTCCTAAACTGAGCATCTCGGGACACTAGTTTTTCCTAATTACACTTGTTTCTTGATGTTCTATCTCCACGTGTGTGGAGAGGGGAGGATAGCCAGGGATTTTCTCCATGCACGAAGAAAACTCGGGTCCTCAGTGGTTCCCAATCCTACAGAATTAATGTTGCTTTTACTAACAAAAAAAAAACTTTAAGACTTTTTAATTACTAAAGAAAATTCTATATATTTTATTTTTTTAAAAATGGCTCTATATCTGGACCCTTACAAGGTATCTACGGCCCTGTATATCACCTCTGGAAGTTTGGCTAGTTTTTATCGTTAACACACTATCAACCTAATCTTATTTTTATAAGTATTTCGCTGAATAATAATTAATTCTTTTTAAAAAGTTAATCAGAACGAAGTTTATTCAATTTACTTTTAATTAATCAATTTAATAGAATAGAATTCAATTAAGATTAAAATTTAATTGTGTTTTGTACTTAATTTATTTTGTATTGAGTAACATTTGAATTCATGATTTAAAAAAGAATTAATTTCAGAAATCAAAACTAATTTTGAATGTTTATAAAATATATAATGAAATGTGTGTATAAGGTAGTAATTTGTCTTTTGGGCTATTCTTCATATTCATCAATGTGTGTTAAATTAGTCCTGAGTTACTTGAGTACTAATACAGCGTGTCACGTGGTATTCATTGAGACATTCATTGACCCCTCGAGACCACGTGTCGCTGCTCATAAACACACTGATCTCATCGCAAAACGTCTATAATAATTAATCCTCATAAGCCCAATATTTTGATATTTTTATGAACACTGAGAATGAATATTGCTTAAAAAAATGTGCTTCGCGATTATATTAAATCATAGATGTTATCATTTATCATTTAACACGGCGGCATTTACCGGTACATTATATATAAGTTAGGTTTTTTTCTCTCTTATTTTAATTGGTGATTCCTTATATTTCTCTATTATGTTGAATTCAGATACAATTGGTGGTCTACCAATTTGGAAATACATTTCTATAATGTATTTTAAGAGAAAGCATTGATCACATGTCCTACTAATTAGACTTTGCGCTGCTTTAATATTATTAATATATTTATTAGATGTAAAATAAATATAGAGAAATAAGCATTTTAATGTAATGATTCGCTGGTTTTGTAATAAATTGAAATTTGTTTAAACAGAAATAAAATCTTTGATTACAACCGAAAACGATTATGTAATTGATGGAATGGATGATCACGAATTACCTTGTTTTTCTTATTTTATTTTCAGAAATTTTCGTAATTTTTTCGTTTACTGAATAGATAAATAATTTATCTCGGATTAAGAATCATAAAAATACGTAGGAATGTTATGTAATATGAATATGATATCTGTACACGTGACCTACTAATTATAGATCTTGTTAGAAATCAAAAATAAATCAGTCGATTCAATTTTTTTATTGTTAAATCTTAAATTGCAAATATTTTATCCCTTCAAGACACTATTGCCACCCTTCTAGGCATGGCTGGATTAACCATTAAGCAAAATAAGTACGTGCTTAGGGTATCGAACAGGGGAGTACATTGAGGCACATGTCCCTCCTCCCCTTTTCCTAATTCCCAAGTTAGTTCCAAATTCCATTATCAACAACAACAGAAAATTCATGACTTCTAGCCTATTCTGAAAATATAAACGAAAATAATGAACAATATTTGTCCACTGTATCTTGCAACTTTGTCCTATATTGACCAAAACCACAATTCCTTATTTTCAAGATCGAGTTAGCTCCTAGTGCAACCAACACTACCTTATGGAAGAGCTGATCCGACGTTGAATCATAGAGTTTGAAGCTTCTTGTATAATTTACGATGCCTTATTTTAGTCAGCGGGTGTGGCTAGCATCAAGAAAAGGTGAGCACAACAGAAAATTTTTATTTTCTGATTTACCATGAATTATATGGTGCAAAACTGCAACTGGTGCAACTGAAGAAGGATCCACAAAAAGGGACCTTTACAATAAATGAAAAAATTAATTCGCTGGCGACATTCATTTTGATTATGTTTCTTTATTATTTATATTTTCAATTACATATACAGGTACCAACTCTTTTAAGTGATTAGTTCTTCTAAAAGTCTTTATCCGGCCCTGCTTGTAGGACCATATGGTCTACCATTGTTATACTAAAAATCCCTTCAACTACAGATGGAGGACGACTTTTCATATGATTTGACTTTTCAAAGTTGTCCTTATTCAAGTTTGTCTAGCTATAATCAAAAATTAGCACTGTTTTCTAGAAGAAACTTTATAATCTACATATTATATTAGTTAAATAGTTTAATTTTGCTCAAATTCAGTGTTTTTCAACCTTTTTCTAATACTGGTAACCCCTACTTGGGAAGTTTTTCTTGTGGCACATCTAGAGTATCTGGCAGAAATAAAATCCTTAAATTTCAATATTTGCTCAGTACTCAATACAGTTTTTTTTTTATTAATTGTATAATAACCTTATTCTTGGAAATATTCTTCAATAGAGTGAAATGGATGATTTGTGAGAAATGCAAATAGCCTTGTTAATCCCACGTGATAAGGCATGCTTCAGAAAATTTAATTAATGTTTTGAATAAATTTATAGATATAAATAAGAGTTATCTTAATCCTTTAAAAAGATTTAAAATTTTATATAAAGCACATAAAGAAGAGTAAGAGTCGTCAGGGATTTTAAGTATACAACAGCAATTAATTGTCACTTGCATCATAAATAACTGTGCATTAACTTTCGTAATTTGTACGAAATTATATTATACCAAATTACAATTATATTGGTCTTTCAGCTTTCGAAAAACTGCAAAAAAAGCAAAAATTCGAATTAGATTTTACTGTATTTCCTGTTCTAAAAATGTGTAAACAAATATATTTAATTGCTAATTTATTCTAATTTTATTGTAGTCGTCAGCAATTTATTCGGTTTCTCATTTATTCATCAAAAATTTGCAGAACATTAAAAAATTTGAACATTTCAAATGCACCATCACGAATTACATTTATAACACTTCAGAAATTTTAATGATTTTGCAAGCGAATTACAATTAAATAAATTACATATATTTTTTTTCAATTATCTAGATGAAAATTAATAAAATTTTATCAGAAAATAATTGTAATTTATTTATTTATTTTTGTTTTAAAATACAGCCTTGTTTAAAAATAATTTAGGAACACTAAAGTGAAATTTACGGCATTACAGACGGACATTATTTCCCTAAATTTTAAATATATAATCAGTATAACTACAGTCGACCCCCCCTATAACACTGTTGATTATTCCGTTTTATATGAATTTCATGTTGTACGAGTCACTTAGATTTTACAAATACGTGTGCCGGGCTGTGAACGGCTTACGTATTTGTAAAATCTAAGGGACTCGTACAACATGGAATTCATATAAAACGGAATAATCAATAGTGTTATAGGGGGTGGTCGACTGTACTGATATTATAGGAGGAATTTTTATGTAATTAATATGTCATTTTTCAATAATGTCTGTCCCTCACGCTCTAATCTCGAATTGTTCTTTTGTTCTATTCGAAAGTTAGAAAATAGCAAGTACAATATTAGGGCGTGACGGACAGATATTTAAAATGAATTTTTATAATGTAGATTAAAATTGAAACGACGATTGGTTGATGAAATAAAAGTAGGCGGAGATATGATCATTTTTTCTGTCATTGACCAATCAACGTTTATATGATATTCAGTAAAATCATTGTATCTTCGCTATTTGTCAGAGGACTGCCTATATTTAAAGTCTATTTTTTTAAAATTTTATTCGTGTAAATATAAAAATATTTTTACACATCTTTAATCTGTTGCTTCTCTGATGAATGCAAGAATTAAATTATATTAAATTCGGAATTATCTAAAACGTATATTAAAGATATAATTAAGTACTTTTTTGTAACCGGGCCCTATTACAGGAGATCGAAAGGGTCATTTTGCTTGAGTCTTGCGGGCATCTCAGGCCTTGCATTCTATCCCCAAGAAAAATAGTTTTGAAGCCTTATTTAGTCCGTAAGCATTTTAAAAATTTAGTTTCAAGACTATTCATACTGTGTTCCTAGTTCATAGCATCGGAATTATGCTTCTAAAAATATAGATTTTAAACAGTATTATGCTAAGAACTATACCTTATAAGACCTGTTTTGCTAGAAAACAAAACTTATGATCCTAGGAGCATAATTTGTACTTTAAGATTTTATCGCTTTGTTTGAAGACTAACAACATAACAACAACACTTGTTATAAATAATATCCAAATTGTTATGAAGCTGATTTACAAAATGTACAATTGAAATCTTTGCCTAGAGAAATTTTACTTAACAAATTACTCGAAACAATTCAAATTTCGGTTTCATAATTTAAACAATACAAACAAAAGCTTGTTATTTTATGAATCCCAATTTACTAAGAAAGTGATTCCGAGTTGAGAAAATTCATACTTTTACTCCTTTGAGATTCATAAAAATATCAAAAGTTTTAACAACTTGAAAATTGTTTTTGTCATTTTTAAATAAATAAAATTATTTATTATATTAAAATTTATTGCAAAAATAAATAAATAAATAAATAAAAATATTTCTAATTAAGTTAAAGTGTCGTTTTCTAAAGGATATATATGCACATAATTGCATTTCTTAAATATAAATGACAAAATTGTCATTTTACCAAAGAAATTCACATAATTTTATGTATTATAACATAGATTACAATTTAATATAATTTATATTTTTAAAAAAATACAATTGTCATTTTTAATTAAAAAAATCACATAATTGTAGTTTTTGTAAATTTAAATGATCTAAATTGTGTTTTTTACACAAAAATTCACAAAATTGTATTTTTTTTTAATTTTAAATTATGTATAAGTAAAATGTATAACATTTTACTTAATTAGAATAACTTACAAGAATAAAAATAAAAATTATTTTGTAATTTTATAAAATTAATTAAGACAGAGTTTTTTTTTCTGATTTTTTAAATATTTATTGGTTATAAAATTTTCTTAAATATTGGCAGTTAGCATTATTTTAATTAAAATATAATTTATAGGAAAAAAAAAACCATAAAAAGTCAATTTTGTATTACAAAAATTAATTAGAATTAAATATATTTTTTGTATTTTTTAAATACGTTTATTTAATACTTTTTTAAAATAAAATTAGGGCTTATATATTATTAAATAAATAATATTGAGGGATATTAAATTATAATTTTTTAACCTTATTAAATAAATAAATAAACAGGTCTTTCATCTACCCGTTACGCTCTATATATTTTATTATTAAAAACTTTTTATATTTTTAACTATTATAAAATGACAAAAAGCTTAGTTTTGAGGGTAGGGATGGGTTTTATAAAAAATTGTAAGTGCTAATATCGAGTAAAATCGTCATTAAGTCTGACCCTACTCGAGATACACATGACCACCTTTATCTCTCACCCCTCGATCTTTAACTACCAAAATTTAATAGCATTAACCCCTGTAATACACAAACCTCCCTGCGAAATTTCAGAAAATTTCGACAAAAAGCACGAGTTATTAAGCTTGAAAAAGGGTGAATAAAATCGTGCCTCCCACACACACTAGCATTCATACGTAAAGAAATTACCCACCGCCATACTTTCCCTCTTATATATAACAGCCAGGAAAGTAAAAAAAAAAACTCAAATAAAACAAATTTCCATACACGAAAACGTTTAATTTTTTAAAAACACCTCAAATTTCCCTAAAAATTAAAAAATAATAATAATAACAATAATATAGATTATTTTTTTCTCGTCTCTTCTAGCATATAGATGAAGAAAACATAAATTATTTATTAAATATAATAATTGTAATTAAATTCTATACGTAATTTATAACCTAGAGATGATAAAGAATGTAATAATTAAAAGAAAAATAATTATTTTGGTATATTATATAAATTAATAACACTAAAATCAAGATCGATGCTATCTTGGTAGCATCATAATTCAGCAAGTAGTTTTGATTCATCCATTTGTTTCCAACGTCATTTTCATGTGACCTTTCTAGGCAAACATAATGTGGATCCATTGAAAATTTGAATGCAAACTTTTAATAGTCTCTGCCATTGACGTTTCCCATTGTGTATCATTGTGCAAGAATCTTCTGATGTATCCTTTTCAATGTAATTAAAGCAGAAAGAATTTTTAAAAGATTTTTCTTGAATTGAAAATGAGATTTATTTTCTTTCCTTCTATTCAAATTTTTATTTTAGAATAAAGAAATAAAATATACAAACATTATTTTCCCCTCTTATGTTTAATTTTTGTTTTCGTTTTCTTTAACAAATGGCATCTTTCTTATCATTTCAACAAATTGAATAATGTTTTTTATACCTTTAAATCATTACGAAACTTGTATATTTTTTTAAAATTCTCTTGAAAGTACGAATAAAAATTTAATTATTTACCTTTAAATTTAAATATTTTTTTACATTTTAAAATACAAAAATTATAATGTTTTTTCATTTATAAAGTACAATTTATTTTAAAGTACAAGTTTTGTAATTTTTTAAATTAAATATGTGAAAAGATTCAATTTTTATAACTGCTTTTTAAAATAAAATGCAATTTTTATTTTTATTTTTTGAAAATGCAATTTCGTAGTTTATAAATGTAAAATGGTTAAGAAAATAGAAAATCGAAATTACAAATCAAAAACGAAATTTTTATAGCTTTTAAATAAAACTAAAAAGCACGATCCTTTAAATTTTTTTATTAGGCCTAATTCTTTAAAAAATAATAAATTTTTATCTCTGCTCTTTATAAAAAATGCAATTTTTTTACTTTAATGTTTTAAAAAAGCAATTTTGTAATTTATAAACTACAGATGGAAAACGTAATTTTTATAAATTTTTTTAAAAAAATAAAACTGCATTTTCTGTATTTTATAAACAAAAATGAAAAAATGTCACTTTTCTACGTTTATGTTTTATAAATGTCAATTTTACAATTTTATATATATTTAACAAAAATACAATTTAAAATTCAATTCAATTCAAGCTTATTGACTTAAGCATAAACAAACACTAAAAAAAACCAAAAACAGTTATAAAAATACAATATTTTTCATATTGCATTTTAGAATTAAAACATAAAAAATGTCATTTAAATAATTGCATTTTATATAAATGCAATTATTGCGTTTTATAAATAAAAAAAATATATATATATATA